CCAAAGTTAATCAAAAGGGATAAAGAGGGATACTACATACTGCTCAAGGGAACCATACACCAACAAGACATAACAATCATAAATATATATGCCCCAAACAATGGTGCAGCTATGTTCATCAAACAAACTCTTCTCAAGTTCAAGAGTCTAATAGACCACCATACAATAATCATGGGAGACTTCAACACACCTCTATCACCACTGGACAGATCTTCCAAACAAAAGTTGAATAAGGAAACTATAGAACTCAATAACACAATTAATAACCTAGACTTAATTGACATATATAGAGTATACCACCCAACATCAAGCAGTTACACTTTTTTCTCAGCAGCACATGGATCCTTCTCAAAAATAGATCATATATTATGTCACAGGGAAACTCTTAGACAATATAAAGGAGTAGAGATAATACCATGCATCCTATCTGATCATAATGGAATGGAACTGAAAATCAACGATAAAAGAAGGAAGGGAAAAGAATACATCACTTGGAGAATGAACAATAGGTTACTGAATGATCAATGGGTTATAGAAGACATCAAGGAAGAAATTAAAAAATTCTTAGAGATTAATGAAAACACAGACACAACATATCGGAATCTATGGGACACATTGAAAGCAGTTCTAAGAGGAAAATTCATTGCTTGGAGTTCATTCCTTAAAAAAAGAAAAAACCAAGAAATAAATGATCTCATACTTCATCTCAAAATCCTAGAAAAAGAAGAGCAAAACAACAGCAAAAGAAGTAGAAGGCAAGAAATAATTAAAATCAGAGCTGAAATTAATGAAATCGAAACAAAAGAAACAATTGAAAAAATTGACAAAACTAAAAGTTGGTTCTTTGAAAAAATAAACAAAATCGACAGACCCTTAGCCATGCTAGCGAAGAGAAGAAGAGAGAGAACTCAAATTACTAACATACGGGATGAAAGAGGCAATATCACAACAGACACTTCAGAAATACAGAAGATAATCAAAAATTATTTTGAATCCTTATACTCCAATAAATTAGAAGATAGTGAAGGCATAGATAAATTTCTTAAGTCATATGATCTGCCCAGATTGAGTCAGGAGGATATAGACAACCTAAACAGACCAATATCAATTGAGGAAATAGAAGAAACCATCAAAAGACTACCAACTAAGAAAAGCCCAGGACCAGATGGGTATACAGCAGAGTTTTACAAAACCTTTAAAGAGGAACTAATACCAATACTTTTCAAGCTACTTCGGGAAATAGAAAAAGAGGGAGAACTTCCAAATTCATTCTACGAGGCCAACATCACCCTGATACCTAAACCAGACAAAGACACTTCAAAGAAAGAAAACTACAGACCAATATCTCTAATGAACCTAGATGCAAAAATCCTCAATAAAATTCTGGCCACTCGGATACAAAAACTTATCAAAAAAATTGTGCACCATGATCAAGTAGGATTCATCCCTGGGATGCAAGGCTGGTTCAATATACGGAAATCAATAAATGTTATTCACCACATCAATAGACTTAAAAATAAGAATCATATGATCATCTCGATAGATGCGGAAAAAGCATTTGACAAAGTACAGCATCCCTTTATGTTCAAAACTCTAGAAAAACTAGGGATAACAGGAACATACCTCAATATTGTAAAAGCAATCTATGCTAAGCCTCAGGCTAGCATCATTCTGAATGGAGAAAAATTGAAGGCATTCCCTCTAAAATCTGGAACAAGACAGGGATGCCCTCTCTCACCACTTCTGTTCAACATAGTTCTCGAAACACTGGCCAGAGCAATTAGACAGACGAAAGAAATTAAAGGCATCAAAATAGGAAAGGAAGAACTTAAATTATCACTATTTGCAGATGACATGATTCTATACCTAGCAGACCCAAAAGGGTCTACAAAGAAACTATTAGAGCTAATAAATGAATTCAGCAAAGTGGCAGGATATAAAATCAACACGCATAAATCAAAGGCATTCCTGTATATCAGCGACAAATCCTCTGAAATGGAAATGAGGACAACCACTCCATTCACAATATCTTCAAAAAAAATAAAATACTTGGGAATCAACCTAACAAAAGAGGTGAAAGACTTATACAATGAAAACTACAGAACCCTAAAGAGAGAAACAGAAGAAGATCTTAGAAGATGGAAAAATATACCCTGTTCATGGATAGGCAGAACTAACATCATCAAAATGGCGATATTACCAAAAGTTCTCTACAGGTTTAATGCAATGCCAATCAAAATCCCAATGGCATTTCTTGTAGAAATAGAGAAAGCAATCATGAAATTCATATGGAAAAACAAAAGACCCAGAATAGCAAAAACAATGCTAAGCAGGAAGGGTGAATCAGGCGGTATAGCGATACCAGACTTCAAACTATACTACAGAGCAATAGTAACAAAAACAGCATGGTACTGGTACCAAAACAGGCGGGTGGACCAATGGTACAGAATAGAGGACACAGAAACCAATCCACAAAACTACAACTACCTTATATTTGATAAAGGGGCTAAAAGCATGCAATGGAGGAAGGATAGCATCTTCAACAAATGGTGCTGGGAAAACTGGAAATCCATATGCAACAAAATGAAACTGAATCCCTTTCTCTCACCATGCACAAAAGTTAATTCAAAATGGATCAAGGAGCTTGATATCAAATCAGAGACACGCCGTCTGATAGAAGAAAAAGTTGGCTACGATCTACATACTGTGGGGTCGGGCTCCAAATTCCTCAATAGGACACCCATAGCACAAAAGTTAATAACTAGAATCAACAAATGGGACTTACTCAAACTAAAAAGTTTTTTCTCAGCAAAAGATACAATAAGAGAGGTAAATAGAGAGCCTACATCCTGGGAACAAATCTTTACTCCTCACACTTCAGATAGAGCCCTAATATCCAGAGTATACAAAGAACTCAAAAAATTAGACAATAAGAGAACAAACAACCCAATCAACAAATGGGCCAAGGACCTGAACAGACACTTCTCAGAGGAGGACATACAATCAATCAACAAGTACATGAAAAAATGCTCACCATCTCTAGCAGTCAGAGAAATGCAAATCAAAACCACCCTAAGATACCATCTCACTCCAGTTAGATTGGCAGCCATTATGAAGTCAAACAACAACAAGTGCTGGCGAGGATGTGGGGAAAAGGGTACACTTGTACATTGCTGGTGGGACTGCAAATTGGTGCAGCCAATTTGGAAAGCAGTATGGAGATTTCTTGGAAAGCTGGGAATGGAGCCACCATTTGACCCAGCTATTCCCCTTCTCGGTCTATTCCCTAAAGACCTAAAAAGAGCATGCTACAGGGACACTGCTACATCTATGTTCATAGCAGCACAATTCACAATAGCTAGACTGTGGAACCAACCTAGATGCCCTTCAATGGATGAATGGATAAAAAAAATGTGGCATTTATACACAATGGAGTATTACTCTGCATTAAAAAATGACAAAATCATAGAATTTACAGGGAAATGGATGGCATTAGAGCAGATTATGCTAAGTGAAGCTAGCCAATCCCTAAAAAACAAATGCCAAATGTCTTCTTTGATATAAGGAGAGTAACTAAGAACAGAGTAGGGTCGAAGAGCAGGAGAAGAAGATTAACATTAAACAGGGATGAGAGGTGGGAGGGAAAGGGAGAGAGAAGGGAAAATGCATGGAAATGGAAGGAGACCCTCAGAGTTATACAAAAGTACATACAAGAGGAAGTGAGAGGAAGGGGAAAAATAATATAAGGGGGACAAACGAATGTCAGTAGAGGGAGCAGAGAGAGAAGAGGGGAGGGGAGGGGAGGGGAGGGGAGGGGAGGGGAGAGGGGATAGTAGAGGATAGGAAAGGCAGCAGAATACAACAGACACTAGTATGGCAATATGTAAATCAATGGATGTGTAACTGATGTGATTCTGCAATCTGTATATGGGGTAAAAATAGGAGCTCATAACCCACTTGAATCAAATTGTGAAATATGATATATCAAGAACTATGTAATGTTTTGAACAGCCAACAATAAAAAATTTAAAAAAAAAAAAGTCACTTAAAAAAAAAAAAAAAACTTCTATGAACATCTATGAATATATATATATATATATATATATATATATATATATATATATATATACACACATACATACACACACATACATACATATATATATCTATCTCCAGGGATTGAACTCAGGGACACTCAGCCACTGAGCCACATCCCCAGTCCTTTTTTGTATTTTATTTATAGACAGGGTCTCAGAGTTGCTTAACACCTGGCTTTTGCTGAGGCTGGCTTTGAATTTGCAATCCTCCTGCCTCAGCCTCCAGAGCCATTGGTATTATAGGCATATGCCACCACGCCCAGCTGAATATATTTTTGTTGTGGACATTTATTTATTTATTAAATATTTATTTTTTAGTTTTAGGTGGACACAATATCTTTATTTTTTATTTTTATGTGGTGCTGAGGATTGAACCCAGTACCTCAAGTGTGATAGGCGAGCGCTCTACCACTTGAGCCACAACCCCAGCCCTGGACATTTGTTTATATTTCTCTTGAATAAATGCCTAGGAATTAAACTGCTGGGTCATATGGTAAATATGTTTACATGTATGTTTTTTAAAAACATGTTTTTCTGTTTTTTGGTGCTTGTGCATTAAGGGTTGCTATTTTCTTGGTGGACTAATCTTTTATTGTCAGGTATTATTTCTTACCATTCTGGTAATTTTCTTTGCTCTGAAGTCTACTTTATCTGATATTAACACAACCATTTCTGCTTTCTTTCTTTCTTTTTTTTTCCATTCCAACTTCTTTTGGATTAATGTTGGCATGTATATCTTTCCCCACTGACTTTTCAGTGCCATACAGCTTCATGCTTTATAAGATGAGAGCAATAACACTCATTACAGAGTTGTGCTGAGAATTAAACTGGCTTTCCAGCAACATGGTAGAATAATGTACACACCATCCTTCCCATGGAAAAATATTAAACAGGAGTACTTACCTAGCACATGTGAGGCACCAGATTCATTACTTAGCACCACATAAAAATAGACAACAACAACAAAAAAGGCATTCTGTCCAACTACAAAAAAAAAAAATTAAGAGGAAGAATGCATAGGTTAAGCACTGAGTAGGAAGATACTTTCAATCTATCTATACTATATTTGAAGTATACTGTAGGTATATGAACTACAGCTGAGTTATGAGCCAGGGGGCTCCAGCTTTATGGGAGCCTCTACATACCCAATTTGGGCAACTTTGTTTTCCTCACCAAGGCTAATGAAATCACCAAAATCAATATTCACTGTTACCAATTTGGCAAGCATCCTTGAGATAAAAGTCACCCTGGTGCTCCCATTCCTTCCCTAAGTTCCTGTCTTCACACTCAGTCTTTGACTATCATTCTTCCTGTTTAATAGTTTTCAGTGGGAAGGCTGGTATATACATGTAATCTACCACGTTGTTGGAGAGCAATTTTAATCCTCAAAACAACTGTCTAATGGGTAATATTGCTCTCATCTTAAAGATCATGGAACTGTATAACACTGTGAAAGATGATATAATATAGTGGAAACACATGAGCTTTTTGAGGCAGGCCAACCTGGGCTTCAATTCTGATTCCATCACTTAGCTGTATAACTCTAGGTAAGTAATTTAGCCTCTTTAAGCTTCATTTTACTCATTCATGGTATACTATTTCTTATAGTGTTGTTGGGGGAATTAAATGAGATAATGCATTAAAACGCTTAGCATTTTATTAAATACTTAACCCTGAAAAAAATGGTAATTGCTCCTTTCATTGTTCTACTTGTCAAAAATTCAGTAACTTTATTTTAGCTAAAACATGGCAGGGCTGGAATTTATACTTAAGTCTACCATGCTCTATTCCCTACACCATGTTGGTTTTCTTTATCTTCCTTAGAAAGTATTTGTGGAAAAAAGAAAAATAATATGTGGAAAAAAGAAAAATAATAATTCTCTATCCTGTCTGAATAATCCACAAATATTTAAATGGACAGGGCTTGTGCAGAATAGGAAAAAAATAGTTTCAGTATTTGATTTCATATATTCCTAACTGAGCTATGGTTCCCTCAAAAACAGTTTAATGTAGTAGTTATTATTCAGGCATTAGAATCACAAAGACCTAGATTTGAGTCCCAAATTCTTAAGATCTACGATCTTCAATTCCTGGTCTGTGACATGGGAAAAACATCATAAGCTTTGAGTTCCAATAGGACTATTGGGAGAATAAAATATAATAAAGTCACGCTTAAAACAGGGCCTGAAACAAGGAAATGCTCCCAAAAAGTAGTTGTTATTATTACCAAAGACACAGACTATGTTTTCGGGGTTTTGTTTTGTTTTGTTTTTTCATTCCTCCCATTAATTCAGTTGATCAACATTTAGTGCTTATGTGTATACTAAAGAAATTACACGGCAATGAACCTGCCTGGTATTAAATAGGGTATTAAATGAAAAGGAAACTAAATTAGATTCCTTATAAAAAGCTTAGGTAGGCAATTCTGCCACAGAATCAGCTTAATAATCTGTGAGTCTTAGACAACAAAAGCATTTGTAACTACCATTCTATCTGGGTACCCTGGCACATGCCGGTAATCCCAGTGACTTTGGAAGTTGAGACAGGAGGATTGCAATATCTTGGCATGTGTAACCAAAGAAAGTCTCTTCTGCTTTGGAAGAGAATTTTCTCTCTCCCTCCCATGTGGAAGAAAATATGGACAAAAAAAATAGTTCCTTTACTCTGGTTTATAAAGATCTATTATTTATTTAGTCTCATAATAAAGAGGTAATATAGAGAAATTTTTAAAAAATACATAGAATGTGGTTGGGAATGTAGCTAAGTGGTAGAGTGCTTGCTAAGAATGCACAAAGTCCTGGATTCAATCCTCAGTACTGCAAAAAAAAAAAATTAAAACTTTTAAAAAGAAATTTACAAAAGGATATTTATATATAAAAGTATTGACCCTCCTGTACCAGTAATCAGAAAGATTTATAGCAGTAAAATTCAGACTATAATTACCTTCTTCTTTTGTTCTTCCCCAGCCACTTATAAAACACTTTGTGTTTTCGTCCAGGTTTTGGAAAACATCAAAAGGTAGACAAATAGGCTGTATATAGTCATTAAACATCACAGGTTTTTTTAAATAAAAAAGTGCAATATCATTTTCGTAAGTTTCCATAATGAAGTCTGGATGAATACTGATTGCTTTAACTTTTATCCTCTTGGTGTATGCTTGACTCATATTTACTGTATTGGTTCCCATCACAGCTCTCCACTGTAAAGGATCTCTGGAAGAAAGTAAATATTCTTATTATAAGCATGTTTATTTAATTTAGTAAATATTATTAATCTTTCACTAGTTTTTTTCTTATGTTAGATTAATAAAAAAAATTTAATTCTACTTTCATGTGACATGAAATATAAATTAAAAGCCTGCTGGGTGCCCTGGCACATGCCAGTAATCCCAGTGACTCTGGAGTTGAGACAGGAGGATTGCAAGTTTGAGGCCAGCCTCAGCAGCTAACAGAGACCCTGTCTCAAAAAAATTTTTTAAAGGGTTAGGGGCCAGAGGTGGTGGCATATGCTTGTAATCCTAGCAGCTTGGGAGGCTGAGACAGGAGGACTACAAGTTCAAAGCCAGCCTGAGCAACTCAGCAAGACCCTAAGCAACTCAGCAAGACCCTGTCTCTAAATAAAATATAAAAAGTGGCTGGAGATGTGGCTCAGTGGTTGAGTGTTCCTGGGTTCAAACCTTGGCATAAAAAGCGGGGAGAGGGGGGTAAGGATGTGGCTTGGTGATAGAGTACCCCTGGGTTCAATTTCCAGTACTGCCAAAAAACAAAATAAATGTGATGTAGGAAACAGGGAAAATACCAATAGGACAGACAATTCAGAAATAGATTTAAGCATATGAGATTTTAATATATGATTAAGATAGGATTTCTAACCAATGGACCAAAGGATGAATTATTCAATATGGTACTGGACAACTAGTTAATTGTTTGAAAAGAGAATAAAATTAGATCTCTGGACTAACACTAAGCACCAAAATAAACTGCAAATGGATTACATAGTTCTATGAGTAAATCTTCTAAATAAAGAGTTCCTATCTTTTAGATATATCCAAAGTGATAGGCCTGAGATTTCCTTCAAAATAATTGGAAGGGGTAGGCTAAGGGTGTAGTTTAATAGTAGAGCCCTCACTTATGCATGAGGCCCTAGGTTTGATCCCAGCATAACCCACACATACACACACATTGGAGCAGGAATTTGGTAAGAGTATAAATAAAATAAGATCAGATATAAGTTGATAATTTGAAGCTGTGTGATGGGTATATCAAAATTCACCAAATATTTCTTCTGCTTTTATGATTTACTAGAAAGAATTATTTTAAATTAAATGAGAAAGGATTTTGTAAAACATTTCACTGAAGGTAAAAACAAGAAGTAAATAATTTTCTTGACAGTCTAAAAAAAACCATCAAGCCAAAAAAAGGTCAAAAAGATCAACAATTAAATCCCCATTAGTTTAACAGTTGTTACATCTGGAATTCACTTAGGAAGGAAAAACTTTCACTTTATATGCTTATGTTTACAAATACTGAAACATTTTGGACCCTCCATGTTAGCAAAGTTTATACATAAGCATGTGTGTGTTTGATGATAGCAATATAGGTGAAGGCGGTACTGGGCTCCTGTTGTCTCTCACAGAAAGTGTAAATATGTGGACACTCTGGCAACGTGTGTCAGTAGTCTGTAAAATTTGGATTGCCTTTGACTCTGCAGTTCTACCTCCTAAAGTTTATCCCAAAGAAACAGAAGATGAACACAAAAGTTTAGCTATAAGAATATACAGAAAAGGCCTACATGCCTAACACGTGGCTCAGGTAAATTTTGGCACATCTATAGCATGGAATGTAGAAGTAACAGATGTGTATCGACATGTCATAAAGATTCTCATGTTATACAATTTAATGAAAAAGGCTATTTCACAGTAATAACTATATTAATATATAAAATAGTTTATGTACATGCATAGAAAAATTTAGAGTAAATGTGTAACAAAAACACCTGTTATTTCTATGATATATAATGACTCATTTTTCTTTTCTATTTTGTCATTTTCTTATATTAAATATGTTTTACCTCTTTATTATGGTTTTGGGGACCAAACCCAGGGCTTCACAGCCTGAGCAAATTAGCAAGGGCCTAAGCAACTCAGCAAGACCCTGTCTCTAAATAAAATAAATAAAAAGTGGCTGGAGATGTGGCTCAGTGGTTGAGTGTTCCTGGGTTCAAACCATGCTAGGCAGCACTTCACTACTGATCTACATCCCAAGCTTTTTTTAAAAGTCTTTATTGTAGCTGCCTGATAGCATACATCTTTTATATATTTATCTTTGTGGTGCTGGGTATTGAACCCAGGGCCTTGTGCATGTAAGACAAGCACTCTGACAACTGAGCTATATCCCCCATCCCCAAGCTTTTTATTTTTTATTTTGAGACACTATCTCTCTGTGTTGCCCAGACTGCGATGCTCTTGCCTCAGCCTCCAAAGTAGCTAGAATTTTAGGCAGGTGCCACTGTGCCCACTACTTGCATATTTTTAAATATAAAGTTGTACATACACTTATCATTTGACCTGGTAATCCCACTTGGGTATTCAAGTGAAATAAAAACCAATATTCACAAAAACCAATATGCAAACATTTGTAGTAGCTTAGCTCTTTTTTTTTGTTGTTGTTGTTAATATTTATTTTTCAGTTGTAGTTGGACACAATACCTTTATTTTATTTATTTTTACATGGTGCTGAGGATCGAACCCAGGGCCTTGCACATGCTAGGTGAGTGCTCTACTGTTGAGCCATAGCCCCAGCTCCATAGCTTAAGTCTTAATTGCCCAAATTGGAAATATCCTTCAAGTGGTATATTGATAAACAGTGCTACCTCCATAAAATAGATTACTACCCATTACTATTCCCATAAAAAGGAACAGTAATGGGGCTGGGAGCATAGCTCAGTGGTAGAGTGCTTGCCTAGCAAGGGTAGAGCCCTGGGTCCAATCCTCAGCACCATCCAAAAAAAAAAGAACAGTAATAATACACACAATAACAGATAATTCTCAAATTTATATGCTAAGTAAAAGTGACCAAATTCAAAAGGCTACATACACTAAGTGTGATTCTGTTTATAGGACACTGGAAAAGGCAAAACTATAAAGAGAGGGGGAGGGACACAGGAGATTTTTGGGAAATAAAAAGAACTGTGTTTTGTGCTGGTAATTATATGACCATGCATTTGTCAAATTCACAGAACTGTATTCTAAAAGAATTTATTTTACTGCATGTTGAGTTATATCTTAATAAAATCATTTCTGTAGCTTGGCATGGTGGCACATGCCTGTAATCCCAGCTCTCCAGGAGGCAAAGGCAGAATGATTGCAAGTTTGAGGCCAGCCTGGGCAATTTAGTGAGACCCTGTCTTAAAATAAAAAATGAAAAGGACTGGGGGATGTAGCTCAGTGGCAGAACACTTGCTGGGCTGGAGATGTGGCTCAAGCGGTAGCGCGCTCGCATGGCATGCGTGCGGCCCGGGTTCGATCCTCAGCACCACATACAAACAAAGATGTTGTGTCCGCCAAGAAGTAAAAAATAAATATTGAAATTCCCTCTTAAAAAAAAAAAAAAAAAAAAGAACACTTGCTTACCATGCAGCAAGGTACTTAGTTTGATCACTAACACCACAAACAAACAAACAAAGAAAAAACCTTCTCCCTTAGCAGGGTACAATGGCACACACCTGATATCCCAGCGGCTAGGGAGGCTGAGACAGGAGGATTACGGGTTCAAAGCCAGCCTCAGCAATAGCGAGGTGCTAAGCTCACTGAGACCCTGTCACTAAATAAAATACAAAATAGGGCTAGGGATGTGGCTCAGTTTTTTCGTATTTGCTGAGATTTGCTTTGTGATCTATAAGATGGCCTGTTTTCAAAAATGTTCCATGTGCTGCTGAGAAGAAAATGAATTGAGTTGTTGATGGAGGAAATATTCTATAGATGTCTGTTACATCTATTATTAATTGCATTTTTTTAGTTCTATAAAATCTTAGTTTTTGTTTGGATGATCTATACAGTGATGAGAGAGGCATGTTACAGTCATCCAATATTATTGTATTGTGTGTACCATGATCAAGTAGATTTCACCCTTGGGATGCAAGGTTGTTTCAACATACAGAAATCAATAAATGTGGGGCTGGGGTTGTGGCTCAGTGGTATAGTGCTAACCTAGTATGTGAGAGGCCCTGGGTTTGATCCTCAGCACCACAAATAAATAAATTAAATAAAGGTATTGTGTCCATATACAACTAAAAAAAATATTTAAAAAATTTTTAAAAAAGAAATCAATAGGGGCTGGGATTGTGGCTCAGCGGTAGAGCACTCGCCTAGCACAGGCGGGACCCGGGTTTGATCCTCAGCACCACATAAAAATAAAAGGGCATTGTGTTGTGTCCATCTACACCTAAAAAATAAATAAATAAATTTTAAAAACCAATAAATGTAATTCACCACATAAATAGACTTAAGGACAAGAATCACATGATAAAGAAAAAGCAACTGACAAAGTATAGCTCCCATTCATGTTTAAAACACTTAAAAAAAAACTACAATGGAAATAACTTACCTTAACATTATAAGGGCTATATGTGACAAACCCAAGGCCGACATTATTCTGAATGGAGAAAAACTGAAAAGATTTTCTCCAAAAACATGAACAAGACAAGGATACCCACTTTTATCAATCCTATTCAATGTAGCCCTTAAAACTCTAGCCAGAGCAATCAAGCAAGAGAAAGAAATTAAAGGGATACAAATAGGAAGAGTTCAAATTATCTTTTTGCTGGTGACATTACCTTATATTTAGAATACCCAAAAAACTCCATCAGAAGATTTCTAAAATTGATAAATAAATTCTGCAAAGCCGTAGCATAAAAGATGAACACACATAAATCAATCACATTCCTAAACACCAATTAGGCAAACTATTCACAATAGCCTCAAAAAAAAAAAAAAAACTCACTTGGGAATCAATCTAACAAAAGTGGTGAAATGAAAACTATAGAATACTAAAGAAAAAAATTGAAGTCCAGCTTAGAGGATGGAAAGACCTATGTTCCGAATTAATACTGTAAAAATGGCCATTCTACCAAAAGTGCTATTCAGATTCAGTGGATTCCCATCAAAATTCCAATGACATTCTTCACAGACCTAGAAAAAGCAGTTACAAGATTCATTTGGAAAAATAAGAGATCCAGAATAGCCAAAGCAATCCTTAGCAAGAAACACAAAGCAGGGGGCATCACAATACCAGACTTCAAATTATACTACAGAACTATAGTAACAAGAACAGCATGGTACTGACACCAAAACAGACATGAAGACCAATGGAATAGAATAGAAGACACACAGACAACCCCACATAAATGCAGTTCTCTGATACTAGAGAAAGATGCCAAAAACATGTAGGAGAAAAGATAGCCTTTTAAACAAATGATGCTGGGAAAACTGGAAATCCACGTATGAAACTTAACTCCTATCTCTCACCCTGCATAAAACTCAACTCAAAGTGGATCAAAGACCTAAGAATTAGAACAGAAATTCTGCAACTGCTAAAAGAAAATGTTTACCCAACCCTCCAACATGGCAGCTCAGGAACAGACTTCCTTAACAAGACTCCTAAAGCATAAGAAGTAAAATCAAGAATCAATAAATGGTATGAATTCAAACTAAAAACTTCTTCTCAGCAAAGGAAACAATAACATGATGAGAAAGTCTACAAAATGGAAAAAAATCTTTGCCACCTGCTCCTCAGATAGGGCATTAATATCCAGGATACAAAGAACTTAAACTTAATGCCAAAACAAACAAACAAAAAAAAACCCCAAATAACCCCATCAATAATTGGACAAAGGAACTAAACAGACACCACTCAAAAGAAGAAATATAAGTGGTCAATAAATATATGAAAAAAATGTTCAACTCTAGTAATTAAAGAAATGCAAATTAAAACTACATTGAGATTTTATCTCACTCAGTCAGAATGGCAGTTATCAAGACTACAAGTAACAATAAATGTGTGTGTTTGGTGAGGATGTGGAGGAAAAGGTACACTCATACATTGTTGGTGGGACTGTAAATTAGTGAAATCCTCTGGAAAACAGTGTGGAGGTTCCTTGAAAAACTAGAAATGGAACCACCATATAATCCAGCTATCCCACTCCTCAGTATATATCCAAAGATTTACAATCAGCACACTACAGTGACAGACTTTATAGCAGCACAGTTCATTAGCCAAGCTATTGAGCCAACCTAAGTGCCCTTCAGCAGATAAATGGATAAAGAAAATGTGAGATATATATATATATATATATATATATATATATAGTATATATATATATATATATATACACAATAGAGTATTACTCAGCTATAAAGAAGAATGACTTTATGGCATTTGCCAGTAAGTGGATGGAATTGGAGACTATCATGCTAAGTGAAATTGGTCAGTATCAAAAAGTGAAAGGTTGAATGTTTTCTCTGATATGTGGAAGCTAATCCAAAATGGGGGAGGGAATATAAAAAATAGAAGAAAGAGCAGTGGAGTAGACGAAAGGGAATGAAGGGAAGGGAGGAAGGATGGGATAGGGAAAGATAGTGGGATGAATCTGATTTAACTTTCTTATGTACATATATGAATATACCACAGTGAACCTCACCATCATGTACAGCCACAAGACACTAATTTAAAAAAAAAAAAACTATAAGTAAATAGCAGAATGATCAGTAGAGAAGGGAATGGAGTGGGAGGGTGTACTTGCTGCACTGCTGAGCCACAACCCCAGCCTCCAAAGCATGTTTTTCACATTTAAACAGTTAAAAAAAAATTTTTGGAACTGAGAAAAATATATGAATTTTAAACTTTAGTGTTCATATGTAAAGTTTTACTGGGGGCTGGGGATATAGCTCAGTTGGTAGAGTGCTTGCCTAACATGCACAAGGTCCTGGGTTCAATCCCCAGCACCATTTAAAAAAAAAAAAAAAGTTTCATTGGATCACAGCTACATTCATTCAGTTATGTATTTTCTATGGCTACTTTCATGCTAAGTAATTGTGACAGAGACGACAAACTGCAAACTCTAAAGTATTCACTATCTTTACAGAGGTTTGCCAACCTCTGACATATAAATGATTCCTTTCAACAAATACAGTGCTTTCTGTATAAGGCATGATTACAAACTTTGCAAACATGTGGCTTAAATGAAAACAGCTGAAGTCAAATGACCCTCTACCACTTGAAAATATCCCATAAGAGAGTAAAATGAGAATTATATTCTGAATACATACCTAGCGTCTCTAGTGCAGTGGGCAGCTGTGAGAACCCACCTGTCTTTCACTAGGCTTCCTGCACATATATGAGCAAGAAAACGGCCATATCGAATCTGTAGACTAACTATCCATGGCCATGCACCATCTTGAGCATCTGAGCCCCCTACAATCCGAGACCCTTGCAACATATCCCTAAGCGGTGCTGTTCCACAATCTAAAAATAAAAATGATATATTATTTGGACTGGGCATCTATATTTATATTTGTGTGTTACTTACTCATCTGACCACATTAATGTAAACCTTTAAATTCCTATTTTAAAAACTGGATACCTAAGGCAAGCCCAAATTTTGAGTCCTAAAGGAGAGTTAAGATAAACATGCCATAATTGATCATTTTTACACAGACATGAAATCAGTATAATTCATTAAGTTAAAGCTCTTTCCCAAAAAAGTATAAAAACAAGAATATCCTCTAGCCAGGCATCACATTATTGCCTGTATGAGATGGAGATTAAGAGCCTGAGATTTAGCCAGGTCCTATGGTGCAGGCCTGGATCATGGTGACTCCAGGGGCCAAGACAGATTGCAAGTTCCAGGCTAGCTAGTGAGAGAATTGGGGATGAAGCTCAGGGATAATAAAATGACCTGAGTTTAATCCCTAGTACAAAAAACTCAAGTGATAAAAGAGCCTGAAACTTGGAGGCTGGGGTGTAGCTCAGTGGTGGTGTGTAGTTAGCATGTCCCAGGCCCTAAGTTCAACGCTTGGCACCAAAAAGGAAAAAAAAAAGAAAAACCCTGGGACTGGCGAGTCCAGAGGTACAAGTTCGCTTCAAGTTCTGATTCTTGCCACTTAACATGCTAAGCTGATTGCTCTCAGCTGTATTATATAAAGGTCCTCTTCAACTCCGAATACTAGTGAATCAGCCATCTGTAAACTCAGAATGATCGGCCCCAGAACGTTTTGAGGAGCAAATACAGAGGCCCAGCACAAAGGTATGTCCCTGTTCCTATCACTCCTACCGACATCATTCTGCGTCTAGAAGCCGCTTAGGTGTGTCGGGTTTGGGTTAAGGAGGCTGGGTCCACGGGCAGGAGCCCAGTTCACAGGCGGGCCGCGGGGAAAGGCAGGGGCTGCCAGGAATGAAGGGATACTGCCCTTTGCTGCCGGCTCTTCCTTCTGGGCCTCGTCCAACTGCTGCCAGCGCGCCACCCTGGCCCACCCAGGACCAGCGGCCTGTCCCTGCGAGGGGCCGAGCCCGTTCCTCCCGGGGAGCGAGGGGTGCTCGGAGGAAAGGAGAGCGCCCCCCACAAACAGCAGCGCAGCACCCAGCAGCGCCTGCCCCATCTTGGCACTCGCGGGCAAGATGGCGTCGAGGTCCGCGCTCCCACAGCCTCCAGGGAGGCCGCTGGCGCCGAGGTGCCCGGATGCGGATTTCAGTTGGCCTCCCCTTCTCGGACAAGGGTAGGTCAGTGCCTGCTTCCGCTGGGTTCTGCGGGTTTGTTTTCATTGGCAAGCCCCTCCCGGGCCCTAGCAGCACACTGCTACCCACGGTAGGGCGGCTGCGGTGGCGGGAAGGTCCTGGAACCCCCGGGCGCTGCCTGCTCAGACTTGGAGGGCCCAGAGGCTTTCCAAAGCAAGGGCCATATTTGGGGAAGGCAGAGGTATAACCGAGGCAAGGTGGGCACAGAGGTTGGGATTGGAGATGAAAAGGCCATTAGGGAAACCCAGCATCTGTGAAGCAGATTGATCTCTTCCAGCTTTAAAGTAGTTTACCTTGAGCACACAACTCAGGCTGAGCAAATAAAACTAGATTTAAGGATTGCAAAATTGAGCACAAACCCGACTGGGGGTAATTGCACCTCCCCTAACAAACACAAGCACTCATGCCCTGTTCAGTTTCTAGCCTGAGAGATCCATCATTCCTTGCCTCTCTAAGAAACCCTGAGATGCCTCTTGACTTTCCAAACATTGTATGGGAGCAGGGGACACAGATCAGTGGCCCTGGTTAATCAGTCCATTGAGTAAGTAGGCATTACCCACATGCTGTATGCCACACACCATCCTCCAGATACTCTCCTCATCTTGGCCTGTTTTCACCAAGCACCTTGTTCAGTGGATTTAATCTGAATCCCTGTTACTCTTGATGTTATCTCTTAGTGGATTTTCCATCCATTGGCCCTGTTCTTTGGCTATAAATTCCCACTTACCCATGTTGTATTTGGATTTGAGCCTAATCTCTCCCTACTTCAAAATCCATTGTCCTAGTTCTTTTATTTTCATTTTTTTTTCAGTTGTCAGTGGATCTTTTATTTTATTTACTTATTCATATGCAGCACAGAAGATCGAACCCAAGGCTTCATGAAAACCAGGCAAGCGCTCTACCACTGAGCCACAACTCCAGCCCCCCATTGCCCTAGTTCTTTATACCTTTGTATTGAAGGGGAATGCTGGGGATGATGGGGCTTGAACCCAGGGCCTTACTGCTGCATACTAGGCAAGCATCCTACCACTGAGTGACATCTCCAGCCCTTGCTGTCCCTGTCTTTATGATCCCAAGTAAAGGCTGCCTCACCATGCTTTAATAAATATTATGGAATATTTTTCTTTAACATGACCCTGAGTTTTTAAGAATGATGTGTAATGTTTGGTTCTAATTTGTTTCATCATTTCCCATCTTGAGTTAGGCTGAACTTTGCCTTCATTTGCCCCATACCTTCAGGAGTGAGAGAATAATGTGTGGGCTTCGGTAGTCTGGAAAGTTGGTCACGTGGTTGGGAATTAAAGTGGGGTCAATAAAAGGTCAATTGCCTTGCTCATTTTATCCCTCTAAAGCTGACATGGTTGGCAACGTTGAATAAAAGGAGTATATTAGGTTGGCACAGAAGATAACACAGGAAAGTAAGCAGAGGCCTGGGGCCAAACCACAGTCAGTGGGTAGAAAGTAGATACTGTTGAAGAAACAAGCTGCAGGTGGCACCTAGGGGCTAACAAAAAAACAAATTCCCTAATCTCCAGATGTTTTAATGGAAGGTAACACTTAAAAGGGGCCGGGAACAGAGTTGGGTATGTGCGTGTTTCTATGTGTGTGGAATGTGATCAGATTGTAGATGGCTTTGTAAGCAGGGGAAAATGATAAATTTTGCTATGACAGATGATAGGGTGTCAACAGATTCATAAAACAGGTGAGTGCAGCCAAATCATGAAACGGCTTGAAAAAGACAGTGTACCAGTCATTGCAAAGGTCCTCTGCCTAGATTCCTTCTGCCCTTTCTGGGTCTTCATTCATCTCTCCTGCCTTGTCATTTCCTCTCTGTGTGGGATCATCTCTATCAGCAGACAAACCTCTTCTGGCATGATAGACTTCCTTTACAGGGTGGGGGCCTTCTCTGACTCCTGTTACACCCATGTTTGGTCCCTTTCCCTTCAGTGTTGGCTGGATTTAGTGATTCACCTCTAGCAAGTAAAAGGTGGCTGAGGATATAGGTGCAGTGGTTTAGATATGGTTGGTCTGTGACCCCCAGTGGTTCATGTGCTGCAAGCTTGGTCCCCAGCATAACTATGCTAAGGTGGTGGAATCTCTAAGAGGTAGGGCCTAAGACAGGAGTGGTGGTACATGCCTGCAATCCCAGCTTCAGGAGTTTGAGGCAGGAGGATCACTTGAGCCCATAGCCAAGAGTTTAAGAGGTAGGGCCTAATGGAAGATAATTAGATCATGGGGACACGACCCTCAGGAGGAATTGTTGATAGTCTTTCAGAGTGAGTTCTTATAAAAGTGTGTTGTTGTAGAGCAAGTCCACCTCATGTACTTTGTCCTTCTGCATGCAGTTGTTTTTCCTTCCACTTCTCTGCCATCCTGTGTATTAGCAGAGAGGCCCTTACCACAGATGCAACAAAAGGGGACCCTCATGCTTGGATTTCTAGCCCCCAAACTGTGAGCTAAATGAACCTCTTTTCTTTGTTGTTAAGTATCCAGTGTCAGATATTCTGTTATAGCAACACAAAATGGATTCATGTAGTGGGCTACCATTTCTAAGATTAAGTTTTAAGCCGATTGTGTCTTGCATACCTCTCCCTCTGGTTCTTTTGGTTAAATTGGCTGCCACATAGTGAGCTGCCCTCCAGCCAGGCCTCCAGCCATAGCCCCTGAAGCATTGAAGTCCTCAAATGGCCAAGTAGAACCAAATCAGGTAACAGAGAGCTGAGAAGTTTTTCTTCCTCTTCTCAGACCTTCACATAAGGCCACAGTTCTGGGACTGGGGTTGTGGCTCAGCAGTAGAGTGCTCGCCTAGCAAGTATGAGGCCCCAGGCTCAATCCTCAGCACTACGTAAAAATAAATAAATAAAATAAAGGTATTATGTCCAACTACCACTAAAAAATAAATATTAAAAAAAAAAAATCACAGTTCTGGCTGACACCCTAACTGCAACCTTAGGAGAGACCTCAAGACAGAGGTGCCTAGCTAAGCTACACTCAGCTTCCTAAACCACAGAAACTGAGATATCAATTTTTGTTGTTTTAAGTCATTAAGTTTTTGGATAACTTGTTATGCAGCAATAGATAATACATATGGTTTCTCCTACGTTTGAAAAATCTTCCACTGCCTCTATGTTTCCTGCTTTCCTTTTAGAGCAAAATTTTACCTAAAACATTATTTTAAAAAATTTCTATTGTCTTATTCCCCTTACCCTTTATTCCTGTTTGTTTTTAAGAATTTTTTTTTCCATTTTGTATTTTTAAGAACAGGAGTAGTGGACTGAGGTTGCGTGTCTCAGTGGTAGAGCGCTCGCCTAGCATGTGTGAGGACTTGGGTTCGATCCTCAGCACCACATAAAAATAAACAAAACAAAGGTATTGTGTCCAACCAACTACAATAAAAAATAAATTTAAAAAAAAAAAAAAAAGAACAGGAGCAGGATTCAGTTTCTCAGAGGAAGACACCTCTTTTTTGTACACATACTCTTTTTTTGGCAGGAGGGCATGATGCTAGCTTGGAACCCAGGGTCTTGCCTGTGCTAATAAGCATGCAGCTCTATGGTTGAGATTTACCCACAGCTTTTGTTTTTGTTTCTGTTTTGTCGGGGGTGTGGGACTGGGGATAGAACCCAGGGAAACTCTACCAATGAGCTATATCCCCATCCCTTCTTTTTTTTTTAATTTTTTTATTTTGAGACAGGGTCTCATTAAGTAACTTAGAGCCTCACTAAGTTGCTGAGGCTACCCTCAAACTTTGTGATCCTCCTGCCTCAGCCTCCTGAGTTACTGGGATTATAGGTGTGCACCAACATGTCCTGTTCTCTTCTTTAAACCTAATCTATCTATTAAAATTTTCCAAACAAAATTAGGTGATCATTCAAACAAAATGTCTTCTTACCTCTCTTCTAAGTGAAAGCCTAGGAGCCAGTATTATAGAGAATAAGGGCATTAGTACCATGCCTGGGGCCTGGAGTTAGTTGGAGGTCCTTAAGCAGCAGGATTGTCGGAGTCTGAAGTGAAAGTGTTTTTTTTTCCCCCCTTCCTAGTTGTCTTCTACTCCACTTGGGGGTATATCTGAATTAGTGGTAGAAAAAAAATTTTTTTTATATTTATTTTTTAGCTGTATTTGGACACACTATTTTATTCATTTTTATGTGGTTCTGAGGATCGAACCCAGGGCCTTGCACTTGCTAGGCAGGCGCTGTACCACTGAGCCACAAGCCCAGCCCAGAAAAATTTTAATAGAAATATTTTATTATGTAGAGTTTAAGTAATAGCAATACAACATCCATGAATCCATCACCTCAAATTCACTATTTTTTGTTTTATGAAATATTTAATATTTATGAAAAAACATGTATAGAATCCACATTTTTAAAGAATAACAAAATATGAAAACCCATTTTTAAAAAAGACCATTATGGGACTGGGGCTGTGGCTCAGTGGTAGAGCGCTTACCTAGCATGTGTGAAGCACTGGGTTCAATTCTCAGCACCACATAAAAATGAATAAATAAAAGAAAGGTATTGTGTCCATCTACAACTAAAAATAATTTTTAAAAAAAAAGAAAAGACCATTATTACTTTTGAAACCCCCTGTGTGTCACAGCCTCACACATTTGATTCCCTTTTCTTTCTCTTAGAAATAACCAATATTTTGGATCTTGTATTTATTATTCCATTAATTCTGTTTCTGTCTATATAATGTGGTAGCCACATGTGACAATTTGAGTTTAAATTAAAATTCAGTTCCTCTGTTACATTAGTCATATTTTAAGTGCTCAATGGCCACATGCTGTTAATTGTTACCATACTGGACAACACAGTTTTCACTACAAAGCATTCTATTGGACAGCACTTTTCTAAACAATATATTATTTAGTTTTGCATGTTTTTGAACCTAGGA